AAGAACCATGTTTAGTATATATATTCTATATAGTGTCTATTAGAGACCATATTTTGTATATCCTGATATTTTCTAAATCCTAAAATGTAATTTATTCCAGCAATCCTTCTCCAACAAAAAATACTTTTGTTCAATCAGCAAAGTCTAATTGTGATAAAAAGACAAAGCAAAGACCTTTGTGAATGAGAAGATAGACAAACCCTCTCTTTGAGTTAGTTGCTGATTTTATTTGCAAAAACAAAATAAAGCTGAGTGATGAAAACAGACTTTAATAAACTAACTTTATAGTTTAAACATTATTTCAGAAGACTTCCTGTGACAGTATAGAACTCCGAGAAAGAGAATTCCCTTTGGTAAATCTAAATACAATGCAAGATTTGCATTTAGAGAGACAGACTTCATGATCTAGTTTGTTTCATATATTATTCAAGTATTCTACATTGAGAGCCAAGTTCATTCAGTATTATTATTAGACCTAAAATATATTAAAGAGCAATCATGCAGATCTTGGAGTGCTACTCAACCATGAAGTTACAACCAAAGAAGTACAATATGGGTTAGGAACCATAAAGACAGACTGAAGGATCGAGGAAGATTTTCAGTGAGCTAAGAGAAAAGCAAGAAGTTAAAAATCAGTCTAACAATTCAGTCTACCGTACTCTTATCTATTAGAGACATATCTTAAGCAAAGAGAGCTTAAGCAGAGATAAAACTACAAGCAATAGGTGATATATCTAAGAAATCTCAGGCAAGTGCTGATGAGAGCAGAAAAGGTAAAACTGCAGTTCTGCTAGACACAGATAAGGGAAAAAGGGAACTCAGTCCCTGCCAGGAAAATCACTGCAGGCATCAGTGCTGCCATGGTCCTTAGGTACACAATTATTCAAGAGACCAAAATCACCAGTATTGCTAAGTTTGTGTAATCATGGTGGAAACTCAGCTCTCCTCAGTTCACTTAGTGTGATAGCAAATGTGTTGGTGCATCTTTAATAAGACAGGTGAATGTAGGTAAACACCTACAAAATTAACTATATTCAATACAAATGATGTGTTTCCAGAAATGTGTGCTTGTACTCAACTGACTGATCCAATTTTTGTGCTTGAACGAGTCATAAAAGTGACAAAGCACCACTGCTGACAAATTTGATTACTGAGGGCTGATTACTACCTCCTGATTCTCATGGGCTTATTGAACATGACATGTTCTGCGTGTAAAAATATTTCACCACATCTGGTGTAGCACAGACTTCAGAAAGCATGGTACGACTTGCAAGCTGCCTGTGTCTGTATTACATTGGCCAGACAGATTTCCCAGTAACACACAAAATAGTTACCGTGTTCCAATAACAATAATTCAAAAATAATCCTGGTAGTAGTAATAGCTCTAAAAGCAACTTTAATAGTCTAGTTCATCCCTTTACTGAAACATTTCAACTAAAAATATTCTCATACAGAAGAGAATTAAAATATAGCTCCATATATCTTGTAGAGAATAGTCTCTTTTATAGATCCTGGTTAGGTATTTCCCACCCCAATTTTTCTTTCAGGAGTATAACATTCCTAATTCGGGTTCAATTTAGGTTCTGCACTAGCCACATGGACTCTTTTCTTGAACTCTTTTCCTTGTCTCTATTTGTGTAACCAGGCAGTCCTACTGAAATCTGATTTCCTTACTGAAAGATATTTGAATTATTTTAGAACATTTTGAACTCAAATTTTGTCTTCTGGCTTGCTTGAAACCCCTTAAAGGCTTAATTTGAAAAATATCTTTCTCTGCTGTCCAGACCATTAATTTAAATGTGTAATAGTGCCAGATCCGTGACAAATTAAGAAATCTTTTTGATTGCTATGGTATTTATCCTAATTTGTACCAGCTATCCATTTTGAACATTAATTGCAAGCTCTCAAAAAAAAGAAAGCTTTTTTGCAGAAAGACCTGATACAGTTAGATCACCTTCAGAATAAATCTCCTGCATTATGTCAATAAACCCTCACCCATCTGTGGATAAAACTGGACTGTGTAAGAGCTTATGAAAACTAAAAGAGATACAC